GAAAAGCCGCCAACATGCTAGAAAATAACGGGCGAATTTAATGCTATTTGTTAAAACAATTAAAAATTAATTTTTAAACAACAATTCCGCGTACGACCGCAACAATCAGGAAATTCTACAACAACCAAAAAGAAGGCATCCGGAAGCACATTTCCAATCAGAAAAAAAAACTTTATAAAACTGGTGGCGGACGAGTTGTGCCTTCGGTTCCAAGGGGCAATGCAGATAAAATATTATCTATTGTAAATAATAAGACCTTGGATGTCGTGGATAAATCACTTGCCCTTTTGATGGTGATTGAAAAAAAAACAGCCAAATAAAACTCCGCCATATCTCAATTTCCCAATTAGTCAGAAAAGGCGTTCGAAAAACGTTGAAATTCAAAATTCATGATGTACGTAGGTACTTATTTTTTGAAAATAGGACATTATGATTACACATTTATATACGTATGCGGTATTTTTGATTAACTAGCGACTGAAGTGAGGTTGGAAGAAGGCTAAGTCATGCTTGAGAACGCATTTTTAGATTCAAGCATCCATTCAATTTTATTCTTTAACATGATTTCCAGGGTTTTAAGAAAGCATGATGATAAGACTATGGGCCTATACGAATTTGAAGAATGTGGACTTTTGTTCGGTTTTAAAATAAAAAAATGTTATATTTCTTCCAAGTGTATGGGAAATCATGTCCTCGTAAAACATTATTATAAAATTTCAATAAGACCTTCTTTGCATTATTTGGCATATTTTTGAGCATCACATATGAAACATCCTCCATACCGGTTGCCGAGATTTTTTTATTGCTTAAGCTGTTATTTAAATCATGAATAGAAAAACATTAGAGTGATTCTTCCATTGGGGTTAAGGCGTTGTAGTTAGGTATTATATTACAAATTCCCATATTTTATAAATTTGTCATTTTGATTTAATTTTGTACGTTCTTCTTTTTAGTATTTTTTTTGTTGTTTGCAAACTTTTTGATTTTATTCCAGACATAACAAGTATTGGAATCTCTGTTTAGAGTCTAACAAAATAATATAAATTTTTGGCGTTTCTTATTGTTAAGTTCCCTTTTAGTTAGGGCAATCATTCTTTTTGTTTCCAAGTAAATTTCCATATTGGGGTTGTCCGAGAAGTTACGAATAGCGGCTTTTCTATTTTCCACTAAAGCTGAGCACTCTGCGTCCCACCATGCATTGCCTTCTTTCGAAGGTTTATTTAATGTTTTGAAAGGAATAGTTTGGTCTGCAATAATGTTTAATTTAGATTCGAACTGTAAAAAAGTGATATCATTAAAATTATATCAAATCCTTCTGAAAATTTCAATAGATTAGCCCTGTTTTTATTTACGCTTCTTATATTCCATTGCAGTATGTTGAGATTATTTTTCTTTGCTCTTTTGATTATGAATGGTTGTATTTTAACACGAATCCGGATAATACAGATCCCGATATGTCTCTCTATTTAAATAATTTATAATAAAGTTATGGAGTGTTTCCTCGGTGCTTGGTATAGTTAAGATTTTTTTCAGTAGTTGTTTTATGTCTTCATTTGGAGTTGTATGTTGATTAGATTTGGATTGTAATAAATATTCCTAGAGGCACTTGAAGGCGTTTGTGATATATTATGATGCGAGGATGATTTGTCCGAGTCAAGGATGAGTGGGTTGTGCGAAGTTGATGGCAAGAAAGCGGAGTATGTTGTGGAGTTGTTAGCGCTATGACTTCTTCCGTTAGGAGAGTTTAAGGTATTATTATCTGATTACATATCATAACCAGATTGGTGGATTATTCTTTTTCTAGAGGGTTCGTTTGCTACAGTTGCTGTTAAAATGTGAGGTTCGTCTTTGATTGAGGGTAATAGTGCTTTCATTGTTAGGTGTTTGGGCTGTTTTAATTTGGGGGAAATCAGCACGGTTGTAAAAGTAAACGTCTCTTGATTGGTAAGTTTTTTTGCATGCGGCTGATGCATCATGGAATGTCGTGTTTTCAAACGCCATTAATTTTTTAATATCTTGTCTCATGTATTCTGGACATTTTTTGTTGGAACTTTTATGTGGTTCGTGGCAAAAGTGACATTTAGTGTCACATGTATACGCGGGTTTATCGCGGGTTGCTCTTGCAACTGCATGCTTCCAAAAGTTCTGTTTCGGAAAAATCTAAGTCTATTTCTCGTACTAGGCCCTTTGATGTTGTAAAGTTTAAGGGAATGAAAACATTATAGCCTTTATCTTTAAAATTTTTATTCTTGATGAAAAGGTTAGCTGCCTCCGCTGTAATAAATTCTATACATACTCGGTTCAGGCCTTTATTTTTTATAGCCTTGATATTTCTCAACTGAAGGTTGAAAATATCTCTGGCAATTTTCAAATGTGCAAACCTGCCTATATTATCTGCGCTGTTCTGCGATTCAATGTAAACAAAAAAGAGACCGAATTCCTTGATATCATAAAAAAAGGTAGGTTTTTCTTTAGTTTGCGATATTGGTTGTTGTCCCGTTGGTTCGGAATTAATTTTTTGAGAGTCCAAAACGTTTACTAACTTATTACCCTCTTGTCACAGTAAACTAGTCCAGGGGGGAGCCTCAGCAGCTCCTCCCCCTCCCTGGCCGTCCATCAGGACCGCCAATCAACCAAAAGCTCTATGGCAATACGCGGTTTGTTGTTCAATAAAAAAAAAAGAACAAGCGAGAAAAATGAAAACTCAATGAAAAGAAAGCTATATCGCAGAATATAAGCTCAACTCACCAAAAATTTTCTTCGTTCAGGATCACTACAACACACGTGTTAGTACTAGCGATGACCCCGAGCGAGTATGAAAATGCTACTGATGGCAAATTAAAAATATTGATAAACTGAAAGATTGAAAACTGACAGAATAATTTTAACTGTAAAATACTGTATGTTCAGAATCACAGAACATACCCCCTTAGAATGGAAACTGCAATGATTGGTTATGGAGATAAATTCAGCTGTCCACCTAGCGGTATGAGCACACAAACTATGAGGAATTTCTCTGATATTTGACTCTTAATGATTGCATTTACCAAATATATCGGGTCAATAAAAAACCCTGTTATGTAATATTTTATTCAATACGTAGTCAATAAATCAGTTACAACCATGTTTTGTTGCTTTCGGGACTATTTGCAACAAATGTTTGTTTCTGTGACGTACCAGTGTTCCCCTTGTCCGGATATTTTCTGAAAGATGATTGATTTGCTCGGCTCTAAAACAACAATGTGAGGAATTAATTTTCTGGCATTGCCTAAAATCATTTGTCGCTTCAGCAATTATTGGTAATCCAATAATTGGTAATGTCATTACAGTAATTGTAATTTTCGAGAAATAATAAAATAAATCTATTTCGTAATTAGAAAAGTATCTGATAATTCAGCACCATCAATTTCTTGGCATTTAGAAGCCGCCTTCATTAACTTTATAATTATCTGCCTCGAATGTATGTATGCTCGCACAAACTGTATTCATTTATCTATTTATTATCTAGAA